AATAGCACAAAAAGACTGTCCTAAAAACAAGCTTTAATTGTCAAAAAAATAAATCTTTATATAATATTAAATGCGAGAAAGAAATCATTAAGCAAAAAAAAATTGCTAAATAAAGATGTAGATTATCTCCTATAAGTAAACATAAAAACGAATTTTCAATTCATCATCAGCTGTTATGATTGTTTACTTCTTCTCAATGTTAAAAGTAGACTTAAAGCATAATGAAATTGCATGGCAACAGAATAGAAAAAGAAATAGAGAGCGAGAAAATGTCAGTATATACTGTTTTACTTTGAATAATTCCCTTTTCTATTGAAGAACACAGATGTTATAACTAGATAAAAATTCATATAAAATAAAATTAGTTCGATTTGAACAATAATTGAAGGAAAAAAATCAGATGAAAATATTTGAAAATTTAAATTTGAAGAAATTTAACAATTAGGTGTATATAGTCAGTATAAAAATATATATTTGAATATACAATGAATGAATTAAGAAAAATGAGGTAACATTAATGATGGTAGACTAGAATTAATCATATTTAAATAAAAATTTGCGCACGATGCATGATACAAATGATCACCAAATGTTATAATCGATATATTAAATAAATTCAAACAAGTTGAAGGATATAAAGAATCAAGTTTTAACGATATTAAACAAATATGACAATAATCATTACTATTAACGTTTGTAATTGTGGAAGACGTATAATCAATTGATTCTTCATTCGGCTAGAACAATAGAGAAAATAGATGAGCAAAAAAAATTGATGGAAATAATTTCTTTATTATTTCTATAAAAGCTTACCAATTGCAAGTTCGCACTGGAAAAAAATGCCTGTAAATTTGTCCATGTGACAATAATCTGTTTTGAAATATCATTCAATTCATTTGTTATCAATCCGTAATATTTAATAGAGGTTAAAATTCGTTTACTTAAATAATATATTTCTTGTAATTGATAGACATAGTCAATTGCTTTTGAATTTTGTAATATTTCTACACATAATAACGAACTTTTTATTGATGAAAATATTTCATTGGCTGTAGACAATACCAATCCACATTTTTGTAAACATGATAGCCATACTTTTGTAGGTGATACATCGTCATTATCCTCATGTGTCATATCATGATTCGCGTATGGAGAAAAATTTATACCTTGTTTCGATTGTTTTATTGTTTCTGATATTTGTGAACTAGTACTTCTATTATCATCGTTCATATTCGCAACAGATGATATTATATCAACTTCATTACTATGGCTATCTTCTTTTATTCTTTGAATTATCGAATTATTTGGTAAATCAAGACTAGCTACAGATTGACTATCGGATGATTTATACTGTAGGTTGACATTTAAAAATGAAGGTTGTTGCTCATCTATTGATGACAAATAGTTATCTTCATCATCATCGTCATTATGTTGGAATTGAATATTGTCTTCTTCTTCATTATCACTATTCGTTGTAATTAATTCAGGCGGTTCATATAAAAACGTAGATATACTCGCTGCCGATATGTTGGAAAGAGACGTCGGGTTATTATTCGATTCAAATAAAGAGTACGAATCAGTTTTAGTAAGTTCATTAGTAAATACGTTAGACCTCGATAAATTAGCAAAAATATCACCAGTTTCTCCCTGTCGATGAAATGGAAAATTGCAATTGACGGTATCGACGATTTCATTATCAGACTTATACCACGAAATTTCCTCAACTTTTTCGATTCTGATGTCGTCAATGACCTCCTGTCGTTGTTGTTCTTCACGAAATGCAAAATATGGATCTGATTCGATCGCATATTTGATACTTGTATTTTCTGGTTGAAAGAGAGAATATGTACCCTGATGACTTTCAGTAAAACTGTTTGTCAAAGAATCAGTTTTAACTTGTTTAATTTGGCTATCAGTAGTACTACTAGATAATTGAGCATCACTAACAAATACACTTGGAGTTTGACTGAATTTGAACAGAGAATATGGATCACATGAGGAAATAACAGAATCATCTTGTTTAAATAAAGAGTATTTATCATCTGTCACACACGAGATTGTGCTTGTTTCTTTTTCATCCAAAAACTCGTGGAAACCAACAGATTCTTCTTTAATTGATTTTATCGGTATGATGGTGGCAGTATCAACTGTTGGTGATGATAAATTTACTATAGAAACTGGTTCTTGTGTATTTTGTTTTGACTCTTCGTTCGTAAGATCTACAAGCAAGAAAATACTAAATTAGTTATCTACAAGTGTCGGACCAGTCTCAATGCGGCTGAAATGTGGAACTTTTCAAGAAAGTATCGTGCGCTGAGATACGTATTAATCATTTAAATAGTCATAAAAAAAAGTGTTGATATGTACGTCACTATTTAGAATTAGATAAATATGATAAAACAATAAACTGGAAAACTTTCATTTTCATATTGATCTCAATGTATTTGTTTTCTCAATTATTAACTAGACAAATACTCAACCTTATATAAATTATAAGATATACCACTTCTGGCTGCGGTACTTTAAGAAACGTCTCATCGTCATTACAATTATTTTCCGTTCATCATTCAGAAAGAAGGAGGGGGTGAGGTGAAAAATGCAACAAAACCTTCGACAATAAATTTCAACTTTTAGAACTTAAATAGAGGTTTCAAAATATAGATCGTTTAAACTTTCTATATAATTCTTGATCAGAGGTAGCCGCACTTTTTTCATTTTTAAGAGCAACTTTGTTCTAATAAATTTATTCTAACGTCATGTCACAAAGTATCTCTACAGTTTTGTACAAGACCGTTCTTTATATCTTTTATGGCTCTTGGATAGTAGATATAACTAAAACAGAGTATACAACACAACTGTATGCAATAGAATAAATAACTATATATAAAATGTAACAATGTCTTTGGCTTGGAATATTGTTCCAGGATTAGAAGATATTTCTGTAAGATACCTATAATTCGATTCCATGGCGTCCTATAACTTCATAAATAACTGGAAGCATATATTATAAACCATGCTGAGTGTTGTAGAAAAGTTTTTGACATAAAAAAAATCAAAAATCAAATAAAAATTCAAACTAATGTTATTTAAAACAACCCGTTCTTAACTACTTTCAGGAAAAAGTTAAAAAACTAGTAACTTAGCCAAAATCGATTCAGGCTACTTCAAAACATTAGCATAGACTCTGTTTTATCTGAATCTTTAAAACCAATGAAAATATTCGTTTTTTCAAAGGGTTTCTAGAAATCTTTTCTAAAAATCAAAGTACTTTCGGCAATTTGCGCTATCCACTCGTCATATTACAATAATTCGTCTCCATTTCAATACCCGATACACTCATCTGTTTCACCTGTCACATGCATCAGCCAAAAACCAAGGTTTTTAACATCCAATACATGATCGGATAGAGTGAGTTTCTCTACAGTGTGATGAACATGCGACTTCTCGTTAAGAAGTATCCAAAAGAGCCTGTGCAACTTACTCAGTTGTCACTACAACTTAAGCTGCTTATCTTTGATCATTTTATATAAATGTCAGTGTTTTCGATTTGGATATGGAAAGATGGTGAATTTCCCATCGCAACAAATTTTTTGAGAAGCTTTCGCGGTTTCACACCATCGAAAGTTTTCTTTTTAATTATTAACTGTCTGTTAAAGTTTAAATTTCCACAACATGACCGAAAGCATTGTGAAACCCTGATGACAAATTAAAGGAGAGATTGTACAGAAAAAAGACGCTACTAAACCAATATAGCGAAATACCTTGTTTATTTTCCATCGTTAAAGAATGTTCGTCTTGAGCATTAGGTAATTGAAAATATGGAACAGGTATTTGCTGTAGATGATATAAATGTTCAAAGGTTACGTTGTTCATATGTTGTTGTATTAAACCAATCAGCGCTAGTGCGCAATATAATTCTTCTTTAATTAATTGTCCTGGCAGTTGATAGTTGACACTTGACCATACAAAACTCAATTGCTCTTTCGATAATCCCGATAGTAATAAAATCGGATATAAAAGATCTGTCTGAATGCCGTTGTTCAAGAAGGATGCTTCGTATACATGGTGATAAACAACGGGCAGAAGATTATCGTTATAACTCCAAGATGGGTACTGAAATTGCACCTCTAAACAAGAACCGACACGAAATGAAGAAACATCTCAGCTGCAAAAATTGTTTAGGTACTTACGAGGAGCGATAGGCTGTGCAAAAGACGAAAATGTGTTTGAATGAACATTATCAAATAATGGCGGTGAGTTTGTGGTTTGAACTGAAGCCGGAGCCACTGTTGACACATCAGAATACGTTTGTAAATTTAGCTGAGTATTAGAGTTGGGTGATAATGGCATTCCGTTTGACATTGTGCTTACAAATAGATCATTAATATCTTCAGTCACATGAGACCAATCAGCAGCACGTTTGGATGGCTCAAACAGCTTCGTTTGAGAATGAGAATCATGTATAGAAGATATGGTTGTGTCTGCTATGGATTGTTTGGGCAATAATTTTACTGGATGACGCAAATCAGAACATTTCAGCATGACGTCGTTTAGTTCTAAGATAAAGAAAAGGTTTACTAACCTAACCAATATAAATATATTTCGTTTTCACTTACCGGGCAACGGTTGCGACGTACGATGTTTTGAATGATGATTTTGTAATTGACTTACGTTTTCCTGTTGTGGAGACATGTTGTGGAGAATGACGCTTTCTTGTTGTGGAGACATGCTGTGGTGGCTTACGCTTTCTTGTTGTGGAGGTATCTTAGGTTCTTCAAGAATCTGTTCCGTTTTTGGAATTGTTTTTTTCGTTTCTACATCAAACGAGATCTAGTTCTATTGAAGCTTAGAGGTACGCCGTCATTACTTTCTTACCATTTGTCGGTTTTTGTACTTTGAAATCTTCAAACATTGCTTGAATTAATGAGTTGGCATCAACATGTTTACTTTGTTGAAAACGACGTTTTTGCTCGAGCTTTTTTCGCATAATCAAATCTTCATTCGAATTTGTTGAACTAAACAACATACAGTGATTAAGAATCGTATTCTGTACGGAATAAAACTATCACTTTTTTTCACTCTGATTCGGCCTTTAGGAAAATAAATCATTATATTCTTTAACTTACATGCTAGCTTGTGGTGCTGTTTGCGATGACGTTTGACCAGGTATCTACAAACAATTGTACGTACACAAATTAAGATACTAATGCAGAAAATGTGAATATCTTACGCCGTAGGTGTTGTACTGTAGATGAAACGTATCTTGTGGTAAGAACGCCATGTTATTGATATGCATCATCATATTTGGATTTGATTGTTGGTGAGATGGTCTGGGAGAATGATAATAATAGGGATTCATAGATTATTATCTATTTTGTTTTGACAAAAATACTATACATGTGGAAATAAATTAATACTTTTACATTTATATGACATCACATGCTATGCTAGTTTTAATTTGTGTCTAGTTTCGTATGAATATCGTCACTATATGTTACTTCTACAAGTGACATGATCTGTACTGTAATAAAGAAGAAAATGGCAATATTAGATTAAAATGAAATTTTTAATATAAAAATACGTTCGTTCAGCTAGACAATTTGA